TCCAGTGTTGCCCAGGCTGGTCTCAAGCTCCTGGGTTCAAGCGGTCCAACTGCCTTGGCTTCTTAAAGTGCTGGGATTACAGCTGTGAGCCACAGCACTGGGTTACATTGGCCTTTTGGAGAGGCCAGTTCTGCAGTCTTATAGAATAACCCATATCCCATGTTTTACATTTTACTGATAGTTCCTCATAGTGTTTAAATTTGTTCCCTCTATCCCTTGTGTTTTCTGTAAACTTGGAGTTGGGTCTAAAGGCTTGAGTAGATTCAGGTTTAATATTTTTTTTGACAGGAATGCTTCATAAGTCATGCGGTATACTTCATTTCATACATCATCCAAAGGCATTTAAAGTAGCCTTGTCTTATTAGTCATGCTAAATTTGATCACTTGGATAAGGTGGTGACAGGCTATCTTTCCATTGTAAGCATTTCCTTTTGCAATTAGCAAGTAATTTGTGGTGTGAAATTTTGGCATTAGTAGTTGTTATGAATTTACCTGCAGTAATCTGATAAACACAGTTGGGAGCAGTCCTTTAGGCATGGGTTTGGAAGTTAGGAAGAAGGGGGGTGCAATTTTGGAGGAAATACTAACCTATCTACTTTAGGGAACTTGGAATGCTACTGTGTTGGCCGGAGAGAGGAGGCAGAAAGTAGATGTTAGAGTCTTCGCTTTATTTGAATGCTTGCTTAGGACCACTGTAGCAGTAGTAAGCTATGGTAAATAGAAAAGTTCTGAGGTAGTTTGATGTTGGAGGATTGCAAGTGCTTCAACTGGAACATTTGTCCAGTTAGGCTACTAATCCAGTCCTTTTTCATTCCAGTGTTTTACTAATCAGCATTGGCTCACTGGAATAGCAATTTTCATAAACGAAAGTCAACTGTAGTTTTAGGTGACAGGAAATTGAAAATGTCAATTGACAACGTATTTTGTTATTCCAAAAGCAAGTTTTGGAAGGTAAGGAATACTTAGGACACATTCATTGATTAAATTTATAAATCCTGAATAGTTTTTTTTCTTGCTTTAGAGAGGAACTAAAAAATGTTTGAATTTTCAGTCAGATTGCTTTAGATAGTAATTTTAGATAATGACTTGATTTACCTGGTGACTTGTATCAGAACTTATATGTTTAGAATTTTGGTTTATTTCTGCAAAGCAATTTTAAGGATTCTCTTAACCCTGTGTATACTAGGAAAAGTATGCAGTTATCACTACGATCTGGGTGAAAAGGGTTATTTTATTTTTTGCATTTTAAGTTATGCATAATTTATAGGAGTAAAAATAAAGCGTAACGTAAGACAACTTTATTGGAGCTTTTAAAGCCATAAGAATTTAGGTATAGCTGACTTTTATGTATATATGTAGAAAAATAAAAAACAATCTGTTTCATGGGTTTAATTACATAACACCCCTATAACAAATATGCGTCACATTTGCACACCTTAGGTAAACATTCTTGTTATAATACACATTTTTTTCTTTTTGAGTTTTTGTATCTATACAAAGAACATCTTCCTATTTTCAGATCTGTGCAAAATCATCATGGTTAGAGGGTAAAATTCTCTTCCTAGTTTCTGCAAATTATTTTCCTAGTTGCGTGAGGAATTTCTTCTTGGTAACTTAAGTTTTATAATTGAAGTTTTTCCCAAAAAATGAAAAGTATACTCTGAACTAATATTGGTGATAAGCCATTTTCAAGTCATTCTCTTCCAAGTATCATTTCTGACCCACTTTTTGAATGTAACTATCCCTCCTGTAGTCTGCTTGTAATACAGATCACTTCAGGTTAATTTATGCAAGGATTTAAAAATTCACTGATGATTGAGAATACATTGAGCTGAGAAGTTAATTAAGTATAGTTTTCCTTAGGACAATAAGAATCATGAGGTATATTTGAAATCCAGATTTTGTGCTATTGACTTCTTTTGCTTTTCCATTTGTGAAAATTTACTGAAATTCAATGTTGTTCTTCTTAAGAGTGCCAATTAAGGAGAGTTTGATGCTGTGTAATATTCAGCCAAGTCTAAATTTATAAAAAAATTGTCACAAGTTATATGACAGAATTTTGAAATTTTTCTGCCATTTCTTATATATCAATCTTGATTCTGCTCTCATCCCTTTTCCAAATCTGTGTGTAGATCTGCATTGTCCAAACTTATCATATTTCATTGTCACCTGTTGCTCAGATTTTTATTTCCTATATTTCATCTTTTGAAGGCATTTCTACTTGAAATGGGCAACATTATCTGAATGGAATTAACTACAGATGCTCCTTGAATTACAATAGGGTTGCATCCTTGATAAACCCATCATTAGTTGAAAGTATCCTGAGTTGAAAATGTGTTTAATACACCTAACCTACTGAATATCATAGTTTGGCTTAGTCTACCTCAAATATGCAGAGAACATTTACATTAGTCTACAGTTAGGCAACATCATCTAACTCAAAGCTAATTTTTTAATGATAAAGTGTTGAATATCTCATGTAACTTATTGAGTACTGTAGTAAAAGTGAAAAACAGAATGCTTGTATGGGTACTTGAAGTACTGAATGTACTTTTCACACCATTATAAAGTTGAAACGTTGTTGTAAGTTGAACCATCTTAACATGGAGACTGTCTGTGCTTAGCAGCTTTCATACATGACCCTGAAACTATTTGTCTTATAAATACATATTCTAAATTTCAATTGCTTCCCTAATAGATTCTAGCTTGTCATTCCTTCTGGTAATCTTTTATCTGGGTTATCTTTTTGTATGTACATCATCAAAGTGCAATACTGGAAGAATGTTTGAAAGCTTTGTGGTTCATAATTTTGTTGAAGACAGGGTGACCATCTTCTTTGCTCCACAATTGCAAGATATTTTCAATTTCAGATTTATAAACAACTAATTACAATGATAAATCCAATGAATTTTTTAAAAGTCTACATTTTCTATTTCCTTCCAGTCATTTTGTCATATACCTTTGTTTAATAATTGTACACTTAAGAATTATATCAAGGCTGGGAGTGGTGGCTTATGCCTATAACCCCAGCACTTTGGGAGGCCAAGGCGGGATTGCTTGAGCCTAGGAGTTTGAGACCAACATTGGCAACATATGGAGACCTTGTCTCTACAAAAAATAAAAAATTAGCTGGGTGTAGTGGCGTGTGCCTGTGCTTCCAGATACTCGGGAAGCTGAGGTGGAAGGATCACTTGAACCTGAAAGGTATGGGCTGCAGTGAGCTGCAGTTGTGCCACTGCACTCCAGCCTGGGTGACAGAGTGAGATCCTGTCTCTTAAAATAATGAATTGTATCAAGTAAAATTTTAGCACACACTTGTAAGGGATGAAAGAAGATTGTCATGTGTTCTTTTAGCAGAGTAGCATGGTCCATACTCTTAATGCAAAAATATTGTCTGATGAAGTTCTTCCTGTTGAATGAGAATGCCATATTTCCTTTTTGTTTTTAGAAATATGTTGTTCTCTGGCTGGGCGCAGTGGCTCATGCCTGTAATCCCTGCACTTCGGGAGGCCAGGGTGAGCAGATCACCTGAGGTCGGGAGTTCGAGATCAGTCTGACCAACATGGAGAGACTGTATCTCTAAAAAAAAAAAAAAGAAAAGAAAAGAAATATGTTGTTCTCTCATTGATTGTTAAGTTTGAGAGAATTTATCTAGAATATCTCATCTGATAACTCAGTCTGAGATTTCTCTTACAATGTCATTTTTACTACCATCATTAGAGTCTAAAGTGCTGCTGTCTATCTTTGTGTTAGTCTTCTGGTTCATCTAATAGTTGTGAAATGCCTTCCTCTGTTAATTTTCTTCTCTTCCATTTTGGGCAGAAAGTAAAGTCTGAGTTCTTAACTGTATTCAGTGAAAACTAAAAGCGGATGAAGGGAATCAGAATATGCCACTTTAGCATAAGGATTATTTTGAGTTGAAGGCAATTGAAAATCAGTAGATGTGGGAAGAGTTTGGTGCTCTCCTCTTACTGGCCTAGTAGCAGGGCATTAATTTCCTTTTTATAACAGGGAGGAAAGGGCAACTGTTTTCCCTTGAGATGGAGAGTCAAGGCAGAGATGAGTTTGTATAAACAAATTTTGCTAAAATAACCCTTATCTTACATTAGCTCCCACATCTATTTCCTAGTCACTTACCATGGTTTGTTTTCCCTCAAATCCCAAATTCCCTTTTTGGTGGGGGTTTAAAACAGTATAAAAGACCCTAACTCTAACCAATTCTTTGAGTTTCACTTCTTTTCTGTGAACTCCTATAAATATTAATAAAATTGCATGTAAATATTAATGAAAACTGTATGCTGCTTCTCTTGCGAATCTGTCTTTTCATAGTTTAATTTGCAGGCCATGAGGTACTGAACCAAAGATGTTAGATGAATTGTTTTCCCTCCCTGACTTAGACTACAAAAATGTCTTCAGTTTACCATACATCTTTGAAAGTTGATACAATATTTTTGTAAAGCTATAACAAAACTGGAAAATAAATGAGAAACATTAAGGCTAATGTATTAGCTATGATTTATTTCACTGTTGTATCATTCTTTTAGGCAGTTAAATTCTCCCATTTTCTTATTTTTCTTAGCATAGTTGGGATTAATTGATGAACAATGGTGAAATAATACCTATGATGATGGGTTAGCAAAGTATTTCAAGATGTAGGAAAAATAAAGTCACTAACATAATGTATTTTAGAATGATAAAAGGATTCTGTTATAGACCCACGTAATAATTATAAGAGATAATGAGTTTTAATGTGTTTAAAAGTGGTGATAAACTTTTCCTGTTTTGTTTAAAGATTTCTAGGAAACAATGTGAATAATACGATGTCAGTCTTTCTAAACAGAACTGCTCAAGAAAGAAAGTAAAAAACTAAAATAGTTTCCTTTGGACTCTAATAGTATACTGAAGTTTAATGGTTACTTTGGACAGTTAAGAGTTCCACCTCTCTCCAATACACTAGTTAAACCTACCTGCCTCTTCTACTTCCATAATAGGTTTTTTAGCCTATCATACTTTAATACATTTCTAATGAATACAGGCAATATCTAGAAAGTTGTTCCTTGAGGTGGTCTGTTCTAAAGTTTTTTGTTGTTAACAGTTTTTTTTTTTTTTTTTAAACCTATTTTTTTTTTGCTCTTGTTGCGTATGTGGGAGTGCAGTGGTGCAATCTCGGCTCATCACATTCTCTTTTTAGCTTTTTTTAATTTTTTTTTGTTGTTATTTTTTTTTTTTTTTTTTTTAAACCTTTCTTCCAAGCTTTACCTTCAGAGACCTTTCATAGTAAAGATTATTAATGTGAACCCTGGCACATCAGGTGTTGTATTTAGGATTTTTTGTTAAATGGATTATACCAAAAGCATATTTTATTTCAGTTATTTTCATTGCAAACATTCCTGTTTTTCTGGTTTTGTGTAACAGGATGAACACAAAGTAATATTTGGGATGATGTGTACTTTGCTTCTTTGTGTTTGTAAACACAATGCCTTACACATAACTAATGTTCAGTAAATATTTTTTCTTAGTTTTTTTTTTAATCACCTGAATTCCCCAACAGTTCAAAATTATTGCTTTACTTTTTGGATTGGTATATAACTTACAAATTTTGACCAGCCAGTATGGTAATTTAGCTTTCTTTAAAAAAAGAAAGGCTTTGACTTGTGTTTATCTAGTACAGTAGTTCTCTAAATGTGGTCTTGGGCTTCAGACACTTTCAAGGATTCTTCCATTACCACATTCTTGTGAAGCTGGATTTTCTTCAACAGAAGAGTGTAGTGCAATAGGTTGAATGCAGAAGGTCATAGATAATCCAGCTGTCTTTGTTAAGACATATTAATGAGATATGCAAAAATGTAAAAGAATACCACTCTTCTCTAAATTTTTTGTTTTGAAAACTACACTTTTTTTGTAAAAATATATTAATATGTAATGGTTTCATTATTATTATTTTTAAGTAAATGAATACATATTTTAAAAAATTCTCAGGTTTGGGTTTGTGGACTCCCAGGCAAAGATTCCATCCTTAAAGGTTAGTCAACCACACATCTTGTTTTCATCAGGTTTGGGATTTTTTTTAACGTTATAACTGAATGCCTTTCAGTTGATTTGAATTTTGACTAGGGCCAGTAACCAAAGCAAAGATGATTAGTCTATGAACTAATTTGCCCCTTGCTTCTAGGCTTCACCCCTGTGCATTCCTTACTTTGTAGGTTACCTTTGGCAAGTCTAAGAAGCTAAGCCTAGAGGAGCTTGGAAGACGTCTGGGTGTTAAAGGTGTAATCCTAATCTCTATTGTATCTCTTGCTTTGCTTCCTTCCTGGCCCTGCTTTTCCTATTCAAGATTTAGGATTATCTGACTCTCAGCTATATAGGATTGCTGACTGCTGCTAGAAAGGCCCTCATAACCAAAATACAATGTGGAAATAGCTTTCTTACATTCCATGAGAAAAAAAATAGATCTGACAACTTTTTTGAATAGAAAAAGGTAAATAAAATCGGCATGACTTTGGTGACACTACATTGTAGTGTCTGTTCATTTGAGAAGTTATACACAAGAGATGTCTTTCTATTCTTTCATTTCTTTTAGAGATTGTTTTAGAGATTATAAAGTATTCACAGTTACCATATTCCATCATCACACCAAATACTTCTTTGCAAAAGGTGGTATTAATCATTATTCATCCTTTACAGATGAGGAAATCAAGTTCATTTTATTAATTGGAATACTTACTGGGTGCCAGATACTGTGTATTCATTTTATAAGATATGATGTCTTGGTCTTTCCTCACTTCACCCTCAGCCTTTTTATCTCAGAATTACATGTTCTTTTCTATTTGGACTAGACAGTGCAGGCTAGCCTTACAGGCTGGTCGTGACAACAACCGGTAGAAGTGCTGGCTCCTAGAGCATTTAACCTATTCTGCACCTCACTGCAACCTGGAAGCTTTTAGCAGTAGGATAACCTAACCCAGCTCTGCATAGGTTGATGGAAAGTTATTAAAGAATTTGGAATTGGTAAATGAAAGAATGAAAGCATTATTTTAGGAAATTGTTAATTTGGGGGCACTTTATTGAATGGATGAAAGCAAAGAGATCTTGATACTGAGAGACCAAGTACAGACAGTCCCCAACTTAAGATGGTTCAACTTAAGGTTTTTTGACTTTACGATGGTGTGACAGCAATATACATTTAGTAGAAACTGTACTTCAAGTTTTGGATTTTGATCTTTTTTCGGGCTAGTGATATGCAGTACGATACTGTATCATAATGCTAGGTAGCAACAGCAAGCTGCAGCTACCAGTCAGCCACATGACCATGAGGGTAAACAACTGATACCATAAAGTGTTGTGTGTTGTCAGATGATTTTGCCCAACTGCAGGCTAATGTAAGAGTTCTGAGCACAGTTAGACTAAGCTGTCATGTTCAGTAGGTTAGGTATATTGAATGCATTTTCAACTTATGACATTTTCAGCTTATGATGGATTTGTCAGGACATTACCCATCATAAGCTGGGGGCAACTATATAAAGTGAATCTTATACTGTTTTACTTTAGGTATGAGGTTCTATGGGCCTGGCCAAGTATTGAGTGGATGAAGAGGCAAGGATGGTTGTGGGCAATATTTTGAAAGAAGTCTATAGGATTGGGGAATTTATTAGATATAATTAAAAGAGGGAGACATTGAAAAATACCTCCAGGGATTCAAGATCAGAATGATGGCAGTTTCATTAGTAGAAAAAGGGAAATACAAAGATAAAACTAATTTTTATAATTTAAAGTAAGATTCGTATAATTTCAGCATTTAAAAAGGTACAATTCAGTGGCATTTAGTATATTCATAATGTTGCACAACTGTCAACACTATCTAATTCCGTAATATTTTCATCTCCTGTAAAGAAAACCTGTTACTCATTAAACAGTCTCTTCTCAATGTCCCCTTCCCACAACTGGTAACCACGAATCTGCTTTCCGTCTCTGTAGATTCTCGCATTCTAGATATTTGATATAAATGGAATCAAACAATGTGTAACTGACTTCTTTTGCTTAGCATAATGTTTTCAACGTTTCATGTTTTAGCATGTATCAGTATTTCATTTCTAAAAATTGCTAAATAATGCAACATTGTGTTGATGGACCACACTTTATTCATTTATTAGTTGTGAACATTTGGGTTGTTTTTGCTTTTTTTGGCTATTATGAATAATGCTGTAGAAATAATTTTTCAGGGAAAGATACGTTCAGTTTTGGAAATACAGGCATACCTTGTTTTATGGTACTTACTGTGGTTTGCTGATACTGCATTTTTTACAAGTTGAAGTTTTGTGCCAACTTTGTGTCAAGCAAGCCTATCAGAGCCATTTTTCTAGCAGTATTGAACACTTCATGCATCTTCACATTTTTGTAACTTTTGCAGTATTTCAGACTTTAACTTATTGTATTTGTTGTGATGATTTCTGATCAGTGATCTTTAATCTTACTATTGTAATTGTTTTGTGGCACCACAAACTGCCCTTTGATAAGATGATAAACTTAAATAATAATGTGTGTGTTTTTACTGCTCTGCTAGCCAGCTCTTCCCTAGTTTCCCTCTCCATGGGCTTCCTTACTCCCTGACACATGGCATTATTGAAATTAGGCCAATTAATAACTTTATAATGGCCAATAAGTGTTCAATATAATGAATTTGCACATCTCTCACTTTAAATTAAAAAAACTAGAAATGCTCACTCTTGTAATCCCAGCACTTTGGGAGGCTGAGGCTGATCACGAGGTCAAGAGATCGAGACTATCCTGGCCAACATGGTGAAACCGCATCTCTACTAAAAAATACAAAAATTAGCTGGGAGTGGTGGCGTGCTCCTGTAGTTCCAGCTACTTGGGAGGCTGAGGCAGGAGAATTGCTTGAAGCTGGCAGGCGGAGGTCACAGTGTGTCAAGATTGTGCTGCTGCACTCCAGCCTGGCAACTGGCGACAGAGCAAGACTGTCTCAAAAAACAAACAAACAAAAAAAAACAACCTAGAAATGATTAAGCTTAGTGAGGAAGGCATGTTAAAAGCAGAGATAGGCCAAATACTCAGCTTCTTGTCCTAAACAGTCAAGTTGTGATTGCAAAGGAAACATTCTTGAAGAAAGTTAAAAATGCTACTTCAGTGAGCACATGAATAATAGGAAAGTGGAACAGCGTTATTGCCAAGATGGAGGAAATTGTAATGATCTGGATAGATCAAACTCATAACAACATTCCCTTAAGCCAAAGACTCCAGGTCAAGACTCTGCTGTCTTCAGCTCTATGAAGGCTGTGAGAGTGAAGATGCTGCAGAAGAAAAGCTTGAAGATAGCAGAGGTTGGTTCATGAAGTTTAAGGAAAGACACTGTCTCCATAACATGAAAGTATAAGATGAAGCAGCAGGTGCTGATGTAGAAGCTACAGCAAGTTATCAAGGTTACACTAAACAACAGATTTTCAGCATAGATGAAATAGCCTTCTGTTTATTGGAAGAACATGCCATCTAGGACTTTCCTAGCTAGAAAGGAGAAGTCGATGCCTGGCTTCCAAATTTTGAAGGACAGGCTTACTCTCTGGTTAAGGGCTAATGAAGCTGGTGACTTTTAAGTTGAAACAAATGCTCATTTACCATTGTGGAAATTCTAAGACACTTAAGAATTATGCTAAATCTGCCATGCATGTTGGCTGACATCTGTAATCAACACTTCGGGAGGTGGAGGTAGACAGATCATTTGATGCCAGGAGCCAGGAGTTCGAGACCAGCCTGACTAACATGGTGAAACCCTGTCTCTACTAAAGTTACAAAAATTAGCCAAGTGTGGTGGTACATGCCTGTAATCCCAGCTATTCGGGAGGCTGAGGCACAAGAATCACTTGAACCTTGGAGGCAGAGGTTGCAGTGAGCTGAGATTGCCACTGCACTCCAGGTTGGGCAATGGAGTGAGACTGTCTCAAAAAAAAATAATAATAATTATGCTAAATCTACTCTGTCTATGCTTTATGAATGGAACCACAAATCCTGGGTGACAGCACATCTGGATTACTGAACCCGATATAAAACTGGTGTATAGCATGGATTATAGAATATTTTAAGCCTATTATTGAAACATACTGCTCAGAAAAAAAATTTCCTTTCAAAATATTACTGCTCATTGACAGTGCATCTAGTCATCCAAGAGCTCTAATAGAAGTATACAAGAAGATTAATGTTGTTTTCATGTTTGCTAACACAACATCCATTCTGCTGCCCGGGGGTCAAGGAGTCAGTTCAACTTTCAATTCAAGTCTTATTATTTAAGATATATATTTTGTAAGGGTATAACTGCTATAGATTATGTTTCCTCTGATGGAACTGGGTAAAGTAAAAAAACCTTCTGGAAAGGAGTCACCCTTCTAGATCACATTAAGATCATTTGTGATTCATGGAGGAGGTCAAAATATCAACATTAACAGTTTGGAAGAAGTTGATTCCAGCTCTCATGGATGACTGAGAGTTTCAGGGCTTCAGCAGAGGAAGTAACTATAGATGTGGTAGAAGTAGCAAGAGAGCTGGATTTAGAAGTAGAGCCTCAAGATGTGACTAAGTACTGCAATCTCATTATAAAACTTGAATTAATGGGGAGTTGCTTCTTATGGATGAGTAAAGTAGCTTTTTTGAGATGGAAACTACTCCCTGGTGAAGATGCTGTGAACATTGTTGAAATGACAACAAAGGATTTAGAGTATTACATCAATTTAGTTGATAAAGCAGCAGCAGGATATGAGAGGATTGACTACAATTTGGGAAGAAGTTCTACTGTGGGTTAAATGTTATCAAACAACATTGCATGCTACTGAAACCTTTTGTAAAAGGAAAAGTCAATGGATGTGGCAGGCTTCATTGTCTTAAGAAATTGCCACAGCCACCCCAACCTTCAGCAACTGCCACCCTGGTTAGTCAGCAGCCATCAGCATGCAGGCA